CGTGGTGTTCTGACTAAATCTGGCTCCTCGCTGCGTTTGTTAAGAGCGGAATAAGCGAGGAGGGCCACGAATGTGCAGTTGCGGTATCTAGAAGCCAAAACGGTCTGCTAATCAAAGGGGAGCCTCACATGCAGTGGCCGAGCCCACGGCGCAGCTGGCGCCACCACCAATCACACGTCACGTCTACCAGCCTTAATCGCTTACAGTGACAGCCGGCCATCGGCGCCAGTGGTAGCGCCATCGGCGCCAGTGGTGGCGCACGGCGTCCTGCAGTCCCCAGTCAGTACTGCTCCCAGTACCGGGCCCGGCCGTGTACAGCAGGCGGCCCGGAGGGGTGAGCAGCGTCCCTCCGGGCAACAGCCGAGCGCCAGGGTCACAGCAGGAACAGCAGGAGTCATGCCCCGGAACAGCAGGAGTCATGCCCTCGAACAGCAGGAGTCATGCCCCGGAACAGCAGGAGTCACGAACCTGGAACAGCAGGAGTCATGCCCAGGAACAGCAGGAGTCACGAACCTGGAACAGCAGGAGTCATGGTCCGGAACAGCAGGAGTCATGCCCCTAAACAGCAGGAGTCACGCCCCGGAACAGCAGGAGTCACGCCCCGGAACAGCAGGAGTCCTGGACCTGGACACAAGGGGAGCTGATGGCAGAAACGGAAGTCAGGACCAGCAGGATCAGAAGTAGGCGGAGCGGTGATGAGGAGGAGTCCCGGTCAAGATGGGGAGGAGTGATGGGCAGCACCAGCTCCTTAGCTAACCATCACGCCAGAGGCGGACACCCTCCGTTCGTGGGATGGCCGCTCGTCCAGCGGGAGCGTTTGCCACGCGGCCGGACGTCCAGAGCGTTTCGCCACGCGGCCGGACGTCCAGAGCGTTTCGCCACGCGGCCGGACGTCCAGAGCGTTTCGCCACGCGGCCGGACGTCCAGAGCGTTTCGCCACGCGGCCGGACGTCCAGAGCGTCTCGCCACGCGGCCGGACGTCCAGAGCGTCTCGCCACGCGGCCGGACGTCCAGAGCGTCTCGCCACGCGGCCGGACGTCCAGAGCGTTTCGCCACACGGCCGGACGTCCAGAGCGTCTCGCCACGCGGCCGGACGTCCAGAGCGTCTCGCCACGCGGCCGGACGTCCAGAGCGTCTCGCCACGCGGCCGGACGTCCAGAGCGTTTCGCCACGCGGCCGGACGTCCAGAGCGTTTCGCCACGCGGCCGGACGTCCAGAGCGTTTCGCCACGCGGCCGGACGTCCAGAGCGTCTCGCCACGCGGCCGGACGTCCAGAGCGTTCTCGCCACGCGGCCGGACGTCCAGAGCGTCTCGCCACGCGGCCGGACGTGCAGCCGGCTCCGGGCGGCGGCCGGTCCGCTCTCGCCCGGCGTGTGGCGTTCCGCCGCCCGGCGGACCCGTTACGGCACGCGCGGCCGGCCGCGTCGCCGAGCTCGCTGACCAGCGGCCGTGGCCGCGTGCCATTCAGTCGTCGGGTGGCGTCTGTTTGTGGCCGGCTGATAAGGAGGACGCGCTGAGTGCCGCCATTAGTAAGGCAGCCAGTCGCCGAGGCAAACTCGCCTTTGAAGAAACCGTTGAGCTACTTTAATTGGCGTATAATTTTTGATTGATTTATATATTATATATGTATATATATATATATATATATATATATATATATATATATATATATAATATTATATATTTATATATATTTCAATATATATGATATAATTTAGATTGCTCTAAAAAATGTGGTCTCAGTTAACTTCGGTGCATGCGCAACTATTAAGCACGGTAATAGCTCGCACAACGCCTGCAGCTTCCGCTAGCTCACTGCAAACGGGACGTGCCGGTGGTCTGTTCCGCTCTCTGGTGTGCTGCAGCACGCCCTCGTGGCATTGTACCTCTGGCATTGTTAGCTCACGGCTTGCTGCCTGCCGCCGGCCCCGGCGGCGTGGCGTGCCGCCGCCTCCCGCACAGCTGTCTCCGGCGCCACTGTGCGTCTCTGAGGTGGCCGGTCCGTGCGCTGGTGGGCTGCACTGTCCGCGGCGGCGGCGGCGACTGGGGGCAGCCGCCGCGGTACCTGAGCGGCAGGCCGGAGGCCGCCACCAGCGCCGGCCGTCCCGGCGCCGGTCGGCGCGGCTCGCGGACCGCCGCGGCACACCCGGGACTTGCGGCGGAGCGGTGGTGGACGGTCCTCCGTCTGGGACCCCGCCCCGCCCGCACGTCTGATCAGCAGCTCCTGCCGCCGCTGCGGCACGGATAGGCGCTCGGTGCCGGCCTGGCGCCGCGGGCGGTGCGCGGTCGTCCGGGGTCGCCACCTGTCCTGACCCCGCCGCCGTGTTTGCGAGCGCTGGTCGTGGCGGCGCGCCGCGTTTCAAAGGAATGTTTTGTTGGTCGACGTGGCCCGCATAATAACTCCTTGCCGTGTTCCTACGCGCGGCTTGACACCGTTTTCGGCGGGTCGGCAGGAGTGGCGGACGCAAGCGTAGCCGCTGTGTACCGGGGTAGCTCGCCAGTCACGCGGTTTGCCGGGGGAATCACAGCCGCGAGAACAGACTGGATACTGTCCTGGCTGTGCTGGTGGTTTTGCGATGAGGCGGGCCCGGTCCCGGTGGCCCATATCCTGGGAGGATCGCCGAGTGCGATCCGGGGCCGGTCCCGGGACCGCTGCCGCGTGATGCGCAGCCGATTCCCTCGAGTGTCACGCCGCGCGGCTGGGAGGCGTCGCTGGACTCCGCGGGGTGTCACCGGACACCCGCAGGCGTCACGTGACTCCCCGGAGTAGCATTGGCTTCCCGGGGTGTCATTGGACTCCCCGGGTGTCACTGGACTCCCCGGGTGTCACTGGACTCTCCGGGTGTCGCTGGACCCCCGGGTGTCACTGGACTCCCCGGGTGTCACTGGACTCTCCGGGTGTCGCTGGACCCCCGGGTGTCACTGGACTCTCCGGGTGTCGCTGGACCCCCGGGTGTCACTGGACTCCCCGGGTGTCGCTGGACTCCCCGGGTATCACTAGACTCCCGGGGTATCATCAGCACGCGGCTGCCAGTCTGATGGTGGCCGAAGACAGAGGGTGTCGTCGGCGTCGAGTAGCAACCACAGGACATTGGACATGCTGTCGTGTCTGGTTTGACATTGTGGTCCTCCCTGCTGTCTCCTCGTGACGCCGAACGCTGGACGGCACACGTGACGTCACACACACACGTGGACACACGTGACGTCGAACGTTGGACGGCGTGTCGGACACGTCATTGGCCGCCGGGATTACGCTTGGTTTGGCCGACAAAGTATCTGTCAAAATACCAATCATGTGGACGCGTAGGGAATCAAGCGCATTCGATGCCAACAGGACTTCGTGAATGGTTTGGGCCTCTGATTTTCGTACTTGACTCTGTTTATGCCGTAGCGAAGTTCACCGGTTTGCACCACTGTATTCGTAAGTACAGACTATAGTCCCTCGTATTGTCCACGCCTATCACACACACACGCTGTTTGCGTACCAGTGTCTGTGGTTTGCCGGCCTCCGACTTTGGGGTTTGCATTTGCCAGCGTCGGGCGTGCTGCGCATTCCGGCCGGCCTTTCTCACGCGCCGGTGCACCGGCCGCGTCCGACCACGGCTGTGCCGGAGCCGCCCAGCTCGGCTGTGCCGGAGCCGGAGCCGGAGCCGGAGCCGGAGCCGGAGCCGGCCGGCCAGCGCTGCTGTCCGCTCGCCAGCGACCGCGCCGAGTGGCTGTCCGGAGACGCACGGCCGACTTCGGCGCGGTCTTTTTCTGATCGTTATTTTGTATCGCTGCACCGGTTATTTTCCCCCAGCCGTGTTTGGTTGTCAGCGCGTTTCCATGGGCCGAAAGTTTGGGTCGAGCGTACCGACGGCAGCGTGTGACGACCGACCGAGGGCGGCGGCGCCCGGGGGCGCACTAACGCCGCGTTACGGCCGGTGACGCGGCGTAAGTGCGCCACGGCACGTGCGACAGGCGAGCGCGGCACGCGGGCCACGAGCCCGCCCCCGTCACCCGGCCAGCCTCCGCAAGCCTCGCAGGAGTCCGTGGACTCCTGGTTGAGACACCTGGGATAGGTCACGTAGCTTGCATTAGACCGCTTGCGCCCGATGGAAGGCGTGCCGGGGTAAACAGCCGAGGGGACCGTCGCGTCTGCACCATTGCAGTGAGGCCGTCAGTGGTGTCTGTGACGTCTGTGTCTGTGTCTGCGCTGAGCAGACTGCGCGGATGGGGTGCGCCCACCGTCATACGGCGCCCTCGTCTGGGGTGCACCTGCCATCATACGGCGCCCTCGGCTGTGGTGCGCCCGCTGTCATACGGCGCCCTCGGCTGGGGTGCACCCACCGTCCTACGGCGCCCTCGGCTGGGGTGCACCTGCCATCATACGGCGCCCTCGGCTGTGGTGCACCTGCCATCATACGGCGCCCTCGGCTGTGGTGCGCCCGCTGTCATACGGCGCCCTCGGCTGGGGTGCACCCACCGTCCTACGGCGCCCTCGGCTGGGGTGCACCTGCCATCATACGGCGCCCTCGGCTGTGGTGCACCTGCCATCATACGGCGCCCTCGGCTGTGGTGCGCCCGCCGTCATACGGCGCCCTTGGCTGGGGTGCACCTGCCATCATACGGCGCCCTCGGCTGTGGTGCGCCCGCCGTCATACGGCGCCCTTGGCTGTGGTGCGCCCGCCGTCATACGGCGCCCTTGGCTGTGGTGCGCCCGCCGTCATACGGCGCCCTCGGCTGTGGTGCGCCCACTGTCATGCGGCGACCCCAGCAGCCGGGCTCACAGTAACACTAATACGCACAATAACTGAACAGCGCACGGGTTCACACGTGACCCGTCCCGTGCTTCAGACATTCCGCTCGCTGCTGTGCCTCCATTAATCATGTGACTCGCCCCGTGTTTCAGATATTCCGCTCGCTGCTGTTCCTCCATTAATCGCGTGACTCGCCCCGTGTTTCAGACATTCCGCTTGCTGCTGGGCCTCCAGTAATCACGTGACTGGCCCGTGTTTCAGACATTCCGCTCGCTGCTGGGCCCCAACAGTCACGTGGGCACGTTCGCGAGCGGCTCTATGGCGGGCGTGACGGCCGTGTTCTTCACCTACCCGCTGGACACGATCCGCGCCCGGCTGGCCTTCCAGGTCGCTGGCGAGCACAAGTACAACGGCATCCTCCACGTGGCCACCTCTATCGTGCGCGAGGTGAGAGCACAAGTACAACGGCATCCTCCACGTGGCCTCCACGTGTGCTCTCACCTCTATCGTGCACGAGGTGAGAGCACAAGTATAACGGCATCCTCCACGTGGCCACCTCTATCGTGCGCGAGGTGAGAGCACAAGTACAACGGCATCCTCCACGTGGCCACCTCTATCGTGCGCGAGGTGAGAGCACAAGTATAACGGCATCCTCCACGTGGCCACCTCCATCGTGCGCGAGGTGAGAGCACAAGTACAACGGCATCCTCCACGTGGCCACCTCTGTCGTGCGCGAGGTGAGAGCACAAAGTACAACGGCACCCCACACGTGGCCATCTCTGTCGGTGCGAGCGCAACGACATGCCTCCATGACCTTGGCACCCAGCGTTGGTATCGGTCTTATCGTAAGTCCTCCTGATAGACCGTGCCGGGTCAGAGGTCTGCTGGCACAGGCCGTGTTGGATCAGAGGGCTGCTGGTACAGGCCGTGTTGGATCAGAGGTCTGCTGGCACAGGCCGTGTCGGGTCAGAGGGCTGCTGGCACGGGCCGTGTTGGATCAGAGGTCTGCTGACACAGGCCGTGTCTGGTCAGAGGGCTGCTGGCACAGGCCGTGTTGGATCAGAGGTCTGCTGGCACAGGCTGTGTCTGGTCAGAGGGATGCTGGCACAGGCCGCGTCGGGTCAGGGCTGCTGGCACAGGGCCGGGGACAGAGCCGGGATGTCGTGCACTGTTGACCCTGGTGGGCCGCACATATCGGGGACGTCCTGCGGTGAGGGAACCCCGTGCCGGCCGGGGACCGATCGACGCCCGGATGACCCGGATGATCCTGATGACCCCGCCTGGGGCGCGGGGTGACCCGGTCTCAGTCGGCGGTCCGTCGGACGGCGCAGGGCAGCGGCTGGTCGCGGTGTGGGGTGTGGTGTGTCAGTGGCCGGAGCGGGGAGGTGGTAAGGACACGGCGCAGGGCAGCGGCTGGTCGCGGTGCTGGGGTGTGGTGTGTCAGTGGCCGGAGCGGGGAGGTGGTAAAACACGGCGCTGGCTCGAGCGGCCGGCCGAGTATTGGGGTTTGGAGGCGCTGCGACTGGGGTTCAGACAGCGGCCGACGTCAGACAGCCGGGTGATCCGTTTCGGCGCCGGACCGTACCTGCAGAGCTTCGTCTTCCGTCCGCAGGAGGGCGGGCCGCGCGCGCTGTACCGCGGCTTCGCCGCCACCCTGTGCGGCATGATACCGTACGCCGGCCTCAGCTTCTACATCTTCGAGCGGATGAAGTACACGTGTATGAAGTACCTGCCGCGGTACACGTGCCACCCGTGCGAGCAGAACACAGGTGGGCCTCCTCGCCGCGTGGGCTGGCGTCGGTCAGGGCCAGCCGTTCTCTGTGGGACGGCCTGGCGCGGAGGGCGCGGCGCCACTGGTGGAGGGCCGGTGCAGGGTGTCGGCGGAATGCGAGCTGTTTGGTTCGACTCCTGGCCAAATGGCGGCCTCAGACCGGCTCGTGTCTGACTATTGTGCCGTACATGGTACAGCACGCGTCTGTTCGATGCTGTGTGTCTGCCAGTCGACCTGATGTTAATGTTTTGCCGTCTCGTTGGACTGTAGCGGGCTGTTTTGTTCGAGTTGGCCGTGCCCGTGAGATGTATCAGGTAACCCGAAGCCTTGATCGGAGCTGTACGCTAACGTAAGCTGCCTGTCGCGCCAATTTGCCCATCGTGTCTGCCCTGCCATCTCGTGCCGGCGGGCATCACCGGGGTTTCCCGCGCGGTCCGCCAGGCGGCCTGGTGCTGAGCGTGCCGGCCAAGTTACTGTGCGGCGGCATGGCGGGCGCGGCGGCGCAGAGCGTCAGCTACCCGTTCGACGTCACGCGCCGTCGCATGCAGCTGGCCTACATGTCGCCGGAGACGAGGAAGTTCGGGTGAGTGTGCCGGCCGCCGCCGCCGCCGCCGCGCGGGGTGCGGCGCCGGTGACGTACCGTCCCCGGGGGGGGGGGGGGGGGGGGGGAGGATCTGAGGCTGGGTGATGGTTGGGAGGAGGGTCTGCGCTGTCGTGGTGAAGGCGGCAGGGTAGCGCTCAGTGGAAGACTGATGCTGCGCGATCAGAGCCTCTCTTCGGAGGCAAAGTGGTATGGGAGGCGTGCTGTCGCGGCACTGGCATGTGGCAGTGATTGCATTACATGCAACACATCGCATTAAGCCTAAGTGCCGCGCTAGATATTTGAGGCCTCAAATGGCTGTGGAGATTGCCTTCAGACCATGGCACTGGGGCGGTTGCTAGGCAGGCCGGAGAAGGGAGTCCAAATTCAAATCACTTTTTGACGTACCGGACAGACCCTGCTGCACACGCCTCGTCTCAGGCGCTATTTCTGGCACCGGCGTATTTCCAGTTCGGCCTGGCACGCCTGGCTTCCGCCTCTGCTGCCTGTAGTGGCTGCGCACAGCCTGTGCAACTTTGCAGCCTGTGTCGCCTCAGCCTGTGCAACATTGCGTCTCGCCACCCGGATCTGCGCCTGTGCTGACTCTCGCCCCGACCTATTGAGCTGCCCCGTGAGCGCCGTGCGCCGTTACACACGCCGCGGCGGGACTGAGCCCTGCTGCGGGACTGTGCGGGAGGCCTCGGACTCGGTGATCTGCCTGTGCTGAGCTCCGGTCCTGACTTGCCTGCACTCCTCTGCCACCGGCTCGGTCCGGACGTCGCTCGGCATGTCGCAATCCCGCGTCCGGCCCGGCGGGTGGGATGGATGGGGAGGGGAGGGGTCTGTCTTTGGAGACGGCTGTGTCTGAGGGTCCTCCCCCGAGACAGCCGGCACACGGCGCCGCCTGGTGCCGGCCACGTTTGTCGCGTGTAGCGGCGGAGCGGCCCCGGCCGGCGCCGGTTGACGCGGCTCGCTGGCGGCGCCGACGCTGAGTGCGGCCACCGCCCCGGGCCCGCTGCACCAGGCGGTGCCCGCTGCTGGCGCCTGGTGTTCTCGTGTGGCACGTACTTGGTGCTGGCACCTGCTCCCAAGTGTACCTGTGCTCGCTACTGGTACCCGGCACAGGCATGCTGAGTGTTACTCGGTACGGGTACCTCGCGCTGGTTCTGATGCGTAGAAATGGCACGTGGAACCGGCACCAAGGTGCCGACACTTGCACATGGCACATGACACTGTCAGCGGGTGTCTGGTACCGGGGACCGAGGCTGGGACTCGGGCGCGGTGTTTGTGGTGACCTGCCTGCGCCCTCGGTAACGCGTGCTCTTCTTCTGTTCCCGTGCTCTTCACCGATACCCTCTGTCTCTCTTCGGAACTGGACAGCGAGTAAGTGCACCGACGGCGCTGTGGGGGCTTGGCCTGCTGTTGGCTTGTAGTGGAGCTTTTGGCCGCATATACCCACCCTGTGCATAGCCAGGTACACCCGGGGCCGCGTAGCACCTGAGACTCGCGTGTGGCTGAGCGGCTGTAGCAGCTGTAGCTGTAGCAGCTGTAGCGGCTATGGCAGGTTAAGCAGCTGTAGCAGCTGCAGCGGCCGTAGCAGCTGCAACGGCCGTAGCAGCTGTAGCGGCTGCAGCGGCTGCAGCGGCTGTAGCGGCTGTAGCGGCCGTAACAGCTGCAGCGACTGTAGGGGCCGTAGCAGCTGTAGCGGCTGTAGCGGCTGTAGCGGCTGTAGCGGCTGTAGCGGCTGTAGCGGCTGCAGGGAGCCGGACCAGTCTGGCAGTGAGCTCACGCCGGCGCCGTCTGGGCTGGGCGGAGCCGGACCAGTCTGTGGCGGTGAGCTGTCTGGGCTGGGCGGAGCCGGACCGGTCTGTGGCGGTGGGCTCACGCCGGCACCGTCTGCCCAGCGCCTGGCTCGGTTGTGCCTCGCGTACGCTTGCGCTGGGCTTGTCCTAACATCACATTGCCTGCATTATTTGTCATTATCTGTCACGGTATTCATCTCTTATCACTGACAATGCTCAATTTCAACATGCGCCGCAAGCAAGCAAGTCAAGTGAGACAACGAATGCGTAGCATTCGTCTTACAGCGGTAGAACTAAACTTCACCTGGGTGGTTTGGCATGCAGCTCAGTGAAATCGAACAGAGCAGCGGCCTCGAAAGCGTAACATATCAGCCGTTAGTATCTTTTCCACATCCACACGATGTTAGATGCTGATCCAGCTGGTATAGGGCGGCCTGTCTGAAGCTCAGCAGGTCGGCCCATGTCTCGCTGGTGGCATGTCCAGCGTGTGCCTGCTCTGGGTATGTGGAGTGCACGTGTGCGCGCTCGGGGCATGTGGAGTGCACGTGTGCGTGCTCTGGGCATGTGGAGTGGTGTGTTTGCAGGAGCCGTCCACATGCTCCCTGCCTCTCGGATGGATGGGCCGCACACGCGCTGGTGCCGCTCTGTGACATTTGGTGACGCCGAGCTGGTGGTTGGTGATGCCGGGATGGTGTTTGATGGCAGCGGGTTAGTGTTTGGTGCCGGCGGGGTGGTGTTTGGTGCCGGCGGGGTGGTGTATGGTGCCGGCGGGGTGGTGTTTGGTGCCGGCGGGGTGGTGTTTGGTGCCGGCGGGGTGGTGTTTGGTGCCGGCGGGGTGGTGTTTGGTGCCGGCGGGGAGGTGTTTGGTGCCGGCGGGGTGGTGTTTGGTGCCGGCGGGGTGGTGTTTGGTGCGGATGGGGTGGTGTTTCCACTCCGGAAGCGAGTCGTCTCCGCGCCGGGACGGGGACCCCTGCACGCGGCCAGTGCGTCTCACCAGCAGCGCCACCTGCGTCTTCATTAGTGCCACGTTCCAGCGTGCTGTTGTGCAGACGTACTGGCAGGTTGCGGCGCCCTGCGTCCTTCCGCGGCTGCTGACTGGCCTGGCCCTCATGTCGGCACTGCTGGAGCTTCTGCATGTACAGCGCCTCCCCGACCGCTTCCGCCGGCCGGTCGGTCCGCCGGCGAGCGGCGCCTGACACCGCTGTGTTGGGTGGCCCTTGCCCGCCCGCTTGGGCCGCGCCTGCTGTCGCTGCTGCTGTCGTGCCTGCTGCTGCCCCTGCTGTCGTGCGTGCTGTCGCGCCTGCTGTCGTGCCTGCTGTCGCTGCTGCTGTCGCTGCTGCTGTTGCCCCTGCTGTTGTCCCTGCTGTCGCGCCTGCTGTCGTACCTGCTGTCGCTCCTGCTGTCGCTGCTGCTGTCGCCCCTGCTGTCGCTGCTGCTATCGAGCTGTAACTGGCGGCCACAGCGGTGCTGTGGTGCTGTCTGCTGTGGCTGGTCTGAGAGCCTGCCGACCGTGCCCACGGCTGGTGTGCGGACAGATGGCAGGGGCCTGCCGACCGTACCCACGGCTGGTGTGCACCGATGGCAGGGGCCTGCCGACCGTACCCACGGCTGGTGTGTGGACCGATGGCAGGGGCCTGCCGACCGTACCCACGGCTGGTGTGTGGACCGATGGCAGGGGCCTGCCGACCGTACCCACGGCTGGTGTGTGGACCGATGGCAGGGGCCTGCCGACCGTACCCACGGCTGGTGTGTGGACCGATGGCAGGGGCCTGCCGACCGTACCCACGGCTGGTGTGTGGACCGATGGCAGGGGCCTGCCGACCGTACCCACGGCTGGTGTGTGGACCGATGGCAGGGGCCTGCCAACCGTACCCACGGCTGGTGTGTGGACCGATGGCAGGGGCCTGCCGACCGTACCCACGGCTGGTGTGTGGACCGATGGCAGGGGCCTGCCGACCGTACCCACGGCTGGTGTGTGGACCGATGGCAGGGGCCTGCCGACCGTACCCACGGCTGGTGTGTGGACCGATGGCAGGGGCCTGCCGACCGTACCCACGGCTGGTGTGTGGACCGATGGCAGGGGCCTGCCGACCGTACCCACGGCTGGTGTGTGGACAGATGGCAGGGGCCTGCCGACCGTACCCACGGCTGGTGTGTGGACCGATGGCAGGGGCCTGCCGACCGTACCCACGGCTGGTGTGTGGACCGATGGCAGGGGCCTGCCGACCGTACCCACGGCTGGTGTGTGGACCGATGGCAGGGGCCTGCCGACCGTACCCACGGCTGGTGTGTGGACCGATGGCAGGGGCCTGCCGACCGTACCCACGGCTGGTGTGTGGACCGATGGCAGGGCCCCGCCGACCGTGCCCACGGGTGGTGTGCGGACCGATGGCAGGGGCGAGCTGGATACCGACAACAAAGATAACCAGGCCAATTATAATATAACAAACCTGCAGCTAAACCAGTACCAGTCTAACAAAAGTAACGCAAATTGGGCCAACGCAATGCACTGCTTGTGGCGTGGCATGACCGGCATGGTAGTTCACAGGGTCCCTGTTTGTGTGTATTGTTTCAGCCTTCAGCTGGCGGTGCTGTTCCTTTCCCGCAATATCTCCCCGCGGCTGGAGAGCTCGCGCCGCCCGGCCGGCCGGCAGCGGGGAACACGTGTTTAACAGACCCAAGTGGTGTAAAGTCATAGCAGCCGAGTACCGTTGTGGAGTGACGAGTGGCCGGGCCGAGCGGTGGGTGTTCGGTCGGGGTGGGGGGGGGGGGGGGGGGGGCTCCCGTCCCCGGCCGTGACTGTACTGTACCGCTCGCTGCGCCCCCCCTCCCCCCCCCGCCCCCGATCACGCTGTTCCGCGCCCTCTGACCACCCCATCTTCTTCTCTCTTCTGCCTTCCCCCTTCGCCCTCGCTCCAGACCCACTGACTTCGTCTGACCTCGTCTGACCTGGTCTACCCCCTGGTCTCTCCTAACCCCGTCCAAGGTCGCCGTAATCCAGTGTTGCCGCGGACCTCGTCTGACCCCGGCTGACCCCGTCCGGTCTCGTCTGACCTCGTGTGACCCCGATGTTGCAGCATGGGCATGGTGCAGACGCTGCGCATCATTCACCGCGAGAACGGCGTGGTGCGGGGCCTCTACCGCGGCATGTCCATCAACTACATGCGCGCCATTCCCATGGTGGCCGTCTCCTTCAGCACGTACGAGCTGATGAAGCAAACGCTCCACCTGGACACGGGCATCAAGATCAAGGTCGGCTAGAGGTCACCGGAGGGCCGGCGCGGTGTCAGAGGTCACGGAGACGTCTGGTCTGGGGTGAGGTCAGCTGAAGGTCGGGGGTCAGCGGGGTGAGGTCACCTGAAGGTCGGGGTCAGCGAGCGGAGATATAGACCGAGGTAGGCCGTCAAGATCGGGTAATGGTGACGTTGCTATCTGCGACGGTCAAGGTCAGAGTAAGCCAGAGAAAACTGGGGTTCGGTCGGGGTGGGATGGTTGTGCTTGACCCTGGTCGACATGGCCACCGCTAGCCGAAATATCACCCCTTGGTTGGTTGCGGACTAGCGCGCGTTGGTCGATTTCCGTCAGCGCTAACCGCGCGACCCGGCGTCGGGCAGCCGACACCATTCCATAGGGCGGCGGACCCTGTGACCCCGCGACGAGGCCGAGGAATGGCGCGACCGTGGCCCAGCGGGGTCAAGGTCGGCCACGATCCTGACCACCGGAACCGGGGGGGGGGGGGGGGGAGAGCAGGCCGACCGCCGGGGCCCGCTCCGAGGCACTTTGTTACACAGTCTCCACGGCGGCGCGCTCACCAGTGGTGCTTTTACACGGGGAAGGGATGCCACGGAGGTCAGTATTGCCCGGTCGGCGGCGGGCACCTTGTCTCAATACTCAGCGAGCCGTGTGTGTGTGCGGCTACGGCGCGCGGTCCGAGCGGCGCGGACCGCTGCTGGAGCAGGCCGAGCCGCGCCGAGGCCGCCAGAGGCTGGGCGCTGCTGTGGCCACCGCTGCTGGGGCACAGGGACACTGTATTAGTGCACAGCGGGCCTAGTTGTTCACGCGCGACGTTGGCTGGCACGGAGCGGACGACCTTGGCGGGCCCGCGCTGGTTGGTCCGTCACATGTTGTGTCACTCGTCTTCGGCGAGGCGATTGGCGGTTGGTCCGGCGGCGGACCAATCAGCGGCTCTGTCGTGGCGGCCGGCGCTGCTGTGCCGCCGAACCCGCGGCTGAATATTGAGAGCGGTGTTGTGTTTTTATGATGCGGACGTGTAGAACTTAAGAATCGTGGCACATTTGCATATACACGGAGACGGATATTTACTGGTGCCTTACGCGGGTCACCCCAACGCTGCGCGCGCGCCGAGGGACCGCCCCAGCGCTCCACACGCCGCCGAGCTGTTCACCCCAGCACATCTGGTGGAGACCCCGGCGGATGTCGGTCCCGCTCGTCCGCCCCCGCGCTGAGCGCCCCATGCGGCCGTCTGCGGAAACTCGGCGCCGCCGACAGCACGCGAGGCTGGGCGACTTTGTTACCGCGTGACTGTAATTTATTTGTGCGCTGAGCGCGTGTGGACGGGCACCGATCAAATGCACATATCTGTTGTTTGTTACCCATGTGTTGTTGACTAGAGCGCGCGTGCGCACGAGCGGCCAGTGTATCATTGTCGATTGGAACCGCTGCGTAGCGGGGCGTCGGTGTCCAGACGGCGGAGGGCTGGGCGCGGAGACGGCTCTGCGTGGCCCGCGCCGCTGCCTGGCCCTGCCGCCGCCGCTGTCTCAGGCTTCCACCCAGCTCGTCGAGTCGGCCGGTGTCCGACCCGGCGTCTTTCTCTCCCGCTGCGTGTGCCGCTCCCTGGCGCTGATGCCGTCTCCGCTGTAGTTTGTCGTGAGCGTGTGCGTGACTGTCCCCTGGCCGGGCGCGTGTTCTCACCGAGCCGGTTCGCGCGCCGGGTCTCCCCGCGCTGCGGTCCGCACGCTGGGTGTACGTCTGTGCTCGTCTGCCCTCCCATCCCCTCCCCTCCCCTTCCCTCTAGCAGGAGGCGCGTGCCGCGGACATATTTTGCCTTTGTACATGCGTCCAGGCGTGCGCGGTCGCTCTGTTTCTGGTCCGGTGTTTGCCGGCTTCTCCCTGCGCTGTCGTCGCCGAGCACGCAATAGATCAGCCCAGTCGTGATTGTAGTCACCGGCATGTTCTGCTCTTCTTGTCGGACGGAGCGGAACTACGCGCACGACATTCCTAATCTGAGACGCGGCTGCAGTGCGAGCGCCACTGGTCACCGTTTTTAATGCTTCACGGGCATCGACGCTTTTCTATCACCGCTTCTGCTACAGCCAGCTCCGCAGTACCTCATGATTTTGACGACGAACAATATGGATTAAAAGGCGACGGCATGACAATACTCACAGTATCGTGGACTAGCCGGCCTGTACTGTCGGCGTGTTTTATCTGGCCAAGACTGTTCTGTTCAGTTCTGTGGCGACTGTGACTGTTCCGTGGTGACTGTGACCTGCTCCGTGGTGACTGTGACTGTTCCGTGCCGACGCAGCTCACGGACGGCCCTGGAGCTCTCATCTGTGTTTTTAGGGAGCGGAGACGCGCCGCATGGCGCTGGTGTCACACGGACTCTGCTGCTGGTTGTGGACTTCTGGGTAGAAAATACACACGCTGGTCTGAAGGTGCGCCTTTTGCGGGGCGTCAGCCTCGAGTGGGGGTGGGATGGGGGGGGGGGGGTGTCGAGCTCGGGACGTCCGGCTAGGGGAGAGGGGGTGTCGAGCTCGTGCGTCGGGCGAGAAGGAGGGGAGGGGGCTGTCGAGCCCGTGCGTCGGGCGAGAGGGCGGGGAGGGGGCGCTGTCGGACTCGTACGTCAGGCAGAGGGAGGGGAGGGGGGGGGGGAGGGGCTGCCGAACTCGTGCGTCGGGGCGAGAGGGAGGGGAGGGGGGGCTGTCGAGCTCGTGCGTCGGGCGAGAGGGGGCGGAGGAGTCTAACTCGTACGTCAGGCAGAGGGAGGGGAGGGGACTATCGAACTCGTACGCCAGGCAGAGGGAGGGGAGGGGGTCTGTCGAGCTCGTGCGTCGGGCGAGAGGGGGCGGAGGAGTCGAACTCGTTGTTTATTGGAGTTTAGGGGCGCGCCGACTGCGGTGGTCATTTGGCACCACAACGAGTTTTGTTTTCACCTATCTAATGAGCCGCATAAATGGTCCCAAAGTTGATGTGTTTGAGAAACAAAAAGATCTGTTGCAATTCCAGAAATGGTGAGTTATCTCCTAGCATATCACAGACGGTAAGGGGCAAGTCATTCTGTCCAAAATAGCGTTGGCGTTCTTCCGCGAGGCGCGGACAAGAAATAAGAATATGACGAACGGTGACGAGAGCACCACATCGATGACATACGTTTATCGGCTCCCTCCAACATAAAGCCGTGGGTTGCGTATGTGTGCCCGATGCGCAATCTGCAGAGGATCACCTTCTCTCGCCGCATTTTCCGGAAACAAGAGAACCACTGACCCTGTTTAGGTTTTATCTCTCTGAGCTTATTACTATCCATCCGATCCTAACAACGCTGCCACTTGTTGTGCAGGAAGGTTTTTATTGCAGGGTAAAGGTCTCTGGCAGGAATAGAAGAGTGAACACGTGGAGCCAGCGCTGCTCGCCTGGCAGCCGCGTCAGCCAACTCGTTGCCCGCGACGCCGACATGACTAGGAACCCAGCGTAGCATGATTTTCTTTCCGGCCTGATCCAGTTGAGTCAAACGCATTAAATGTCCTGTATAAGGGGACATGACGGATAAAAAGACTTCTTAGAAAAAAAGGCACTTAGAACGCTGCTCAGAGAGTCCGTCAAAATGAGATGCAAGGGTTCGTCACCGACCTTCAATGAAACATAGTGCTTTAATGATTGCTATGAGCTCTGATGTAAACACCGAAGCGTTTGGGGGCAATGAAAACGACCGGGTGGCGCCACCGCTCACAAACGCACAGCCTACACAATCAGACGTTTTAGAGCCGTCCGTGTAAGTGTGTGTGTAACTCTCATATAACGCTATACGCTCAAGTGCTCTGGACCTCATTATATCTGGCAGCGAGACACTTTTTTCATTTCAGTCAGAGATGTGTCTGTGAAGGGTGAGATCAAATGCCAGGGAGGAGTGCACAGGTGACCTGATCGCTTCACCTTTCGAATAGGAATTTCGGTTTCCCGCAGTAAGGCTTGTATCCGGGAGCCAAAGGTCACTGCATGCGCCCGAGGTGCATGGCGAACAAACGGCACAGCAGGCCGCGGAAAGACTGCGTGATATGCGGGATGACACGGAAACTGTCGCAGCTTAAGTGCATAACGCATGCCAAGCATTTTCCTCCTCGCTGACAACGGCGGCTCATGCGATTCTACCAAGAGGCTTTGGGTAGGAGATGTACGGAACGCCCCTGTGATGGCACGTAAAGCAGTGTGATGGATGGTGTCAATGATCCGTTTCGTGGACTCACACGCGCTGTCATAAATAAAACATGCATAGTCCAGCTTAGAGCGTATGATGGCCCGATACAGCAGCAAAAGCGTGCTCCGATCTCCGCCATACGACGTGCGCGAAACACATTTTAATGCGTTCAAAGATTTAAAACAGCGTTCACGTAGCGTTCTAAGATGTGCCTTATATGTAAGTCGGCGGTCAAAGTATACCCCAAGGTATCTAGCCACAGGCTCAGTTGGGATGCATTGCCCATACACACGGATAGACAGGTCACCGCATTGCCGGCTACGACAAAAATGCATGGCTACAGTCCTGCTACGTGAAAACCTAAACCCGTTCATGGTACCCCACTTCTCAACTGCGGATCAACAGCTAACTGGAGTTGGCGTTCCATCGATGGTGCTCTTGCTGCGCTAGTCCAAATGGTAAAATCGTCTAACAAAAGCGCACGACCTACAGACTGTGGAAGCCCCACCCCGATGTCGTTGATCATAACAGGCGAACAACGCTACGCTGAGAACGCCGCCTTGGGGCACACCGTTAACTTGAACATGCCTCTCAGAGAGCGCGTTTCCAACACGGACACGGAAAGAACGGTCAACTAGAAAGTTTTGAAGAAAGGTGCCCATATTGCCGCGTATACCATACCTGTGTAGCTTGAGAAGGATGCCTTGACGCCATGTGGTGTCATAGAGTCGAACTCGTACATCAGGCAGAGGGGGGGGGGGGGGGGGCGGGGGCTGTCTTGCTTGTGCGTCGAGAGAGAGAGGGCGAAGGAGTCGAACTCGTACGTCAGGCAGAGGGAGAGGAGGGGGGCTGTCGAACTCGTACGTCGGGCGAGAGGGGGCGGAGGAGTCGAACTCGTACGTCGGGCGAGAGGGGGCGGAGGAGTCGAACTCGTACGTCAGGCAGAGGGAGGGGAGGGGGCTGTCGAACTCGTACGTCAGGCAGACGGAGGGGAGGTGGGCTGTCGAACTCGTACGTCAGGCAGACGGAGGGGAGGGGGGCTGTCGAACTCCTTCGTCAGGCAGAGGGAGGGGAGGGGGGCTGTCAAACTCGTACGCCAGGCAGAGGGAGGGGAGGGGGGCCGTCGAACTCCTTCGTCAGGCAGAGGGAGGGAAGGGGGCTGTCGAACTCGTACGTCAGGCAGAGGGAGGGGAGGGGGGCTGTCGAACTCGTACGTCAGGCAGAGGGAGGGGAAGGGGGCTGTCGAACTCGTACGCCAGGCAGATGGAGGGGAGGGGGGCTGTCGAACTCGTACGTCAGACAGAGGGAGGGGAGGGGGGCTGTCGAACTCGTACGCCAGGCAGAGGGAGGGGAGGGGGGCTGTCGAACTCGTACGTCAGGCAGAGGGAGGGGAGGGGGGCTGTCGAACTCGTACGTCAGGCAGAGGGAGAGGAGGGGGGCTGTCGAACTCGTTCGTCAGGCAGAGGGAGAGGAGGGGGGCTGTCGAACTCGTACGCCAGGCAGAGGGAGGCCGTCGAGCTCATACCTCAGGCGGGTGGGCGGGGCCGTTGGGCGTTGTGAACAGCGCCACAGGGCGACGCCATAGCACGGCGGTGTCACAAACTTCCACCGGAATTCGGTGATTTCACTTTTTGGGTTCACTCACTTTCCGTGGAAGCTTCCTGTTCCACAATGATCGTGTCATGTTCGCACACCAGTTGAAACATGCCTGATTCAAAGTTTGATAACGTCTTTGGTATTCGACGGATGATTTTCGACTCTGCATTACAGATAAATTGACGGCTTGGAAGTGCCCTAAGCAGTAGAATGCTGGGAAAGGTGTTGCCGATCTTCGCACGCCTCAGTAGCAGAGTGAACGGCAGCACTTCTCAACCGAGCGCTAGTTGATGACCTACCTATGGATCATCATCTAGCGCGATGATTTTTACGATCATCACCGATCGCATCATGTTCTATAGCACAAAATATCGCACCCATATATTTCATTTTGTCGATCGTCATTGCATACGCACGGTATCGTAACACCGAAAGATAGCAGAACGAACAAAGTCTTGGTAAAATTACAGCTAACTATGTACGGCACACAGGCGCCGCCGTAGACGAACGCTGAACGGGAGCGCTTCCACATGGTCAGACGGTCTCGCCATGACAAAGGCGCACGGCAATGGCAAGCTGGCATGTCACGCATCCTCACGCACGCTGGATGAGCGCAGTATTTGCCAGAAGGTAACACAAGACTAGCGTGGCGCTTAACTCACGGCAACACTTCCTTCGCGTAGATCTTCCAGACTGCAGCCCTCCGCGAGTCGCGAAGGGTCAAAGGCAAGCCCTCGGACGTGGATCCTGCCATGGCTGCCTACAGAGCGGCCTCAGCCGGAGCGGCATGGGCATATGACGTCACTGAGGCACCGGCAGTCGATAACGCCGACGTGTGACGTCACTGAGGCGCCGGCAGTGGATAACGCCGACTGTGATGTCACTGAGGCGCTGGCAGCGGATAACGCCGACTGTGACGTCACTGAGGCGTCAGCAGTGGATAACGCCGACTGTGACGTCACTGAGGCGCCGGCAGCCGATAACACCGACATGTGACGCCACTGAGGCGCCCGCAGTCGACAACGCCGACTGTGACGTCACTGAGGCGCCGGCAGTCGATAACGCCGACATGTGACGTCACTGAGGCGCCGTCCGCTGGCCGCAGACTGCGGCCTCCCTGACACGGGGGTGGTGCGCCATTGCTGTTTAGAGCACTTCTGCACCGGAAGAGACGGGCTTCGCGAAAAGGGTCGATTCTCACATGCCGTGTGACGTCACTTCCAGGTCTCAAGAACTATACTGGCGCCACGGGCCATGCGCCACTAACTTGGGGGGTGGGCGCTCAGCGACACATTCGGCACACGCGGGTCAAGGTCGCGATCCTCGGCACAGGTCGATGCGGCAACGACGAAACTTGGCCGGGAGCCAGATTTGAGCACCGCCGGCGGGTCGGCAGCTGCCGGGCGGGCTTCTCCCGCCTGAGGTCTGCCACCCTCCTGGCCGTGCTGTGTCCAGGCGGGGCCTCTCCCGCCTGAGGTCCGCCGCCCTCTTGGCCGCACTGTGTCCAGGCGGGGCCTCTCCCGCCTGAGCTCCGCCGCTCTCTTGGTCACGCTGTGTCGCACCTGTAGCCCATATGGACCACAACACGTACCCACCCAGACTCCGAGAACACTGCACCACGTCACACTCGTCCCCCCCCCCCCATCTCTCGTACACCGCGGGTAGGCCCCGCCTCACCCCCTGGTGCGCGGCCGCCAGCCTACATCCTCTGGCGCACTCCTACATCCCACCCGTCTGGCGCACGGCCGCCAGCCTCGCCTCGGCGGCCGCCAGGGCGGCGCCACCGTCGTCGGGCCGCAGCGCCGGCCGCCGCCGCGCGCCGTAGCCGGTGAGCGCGCGCACCTCGTCGCTGCCCAGCTGGTGGACGTTGCGCAGGTGGAGGCGCAGGTTGTAGACGGTGCTGGCCACGCTGCCGCAGAGGTGGCAGGCGGTGCGGCCCTGGTGGTGCTGCCGGTGGTCGTGAAGCGAGGTGCGGTACTTGTAGCGACGCCCGCACAGGTCGCACACGAACGGCGCTGCGGAACAAACCGAAACACTCAGTTGGCGGCGCGATCGGCCTCCACGCGGGAGACTCGGGTCCGATCCCCGGCTGATGCCGTGGCCTGCGGGTGTCTGGCTGGCAGCGAGGCCGTCAGGACTCCACAGCATGGCTGCGCGGCCGCGTGGATCGCGCAACACTTCAAAAAGCACAGGGCGCTATGGGGGAGGGAGCATCGCACTAGGTTTCGTTTTGTCAAGAGAAGACCACATGTGATTATTGCAGTACTCGGCAGAAGCCATCACCTCTACCCCGCTACTGCTCCGATGTCCCAGAAAGCGGAGCGTTCCATGGCCAACTGTGAGGAAACGCACAGAGCCCATATATATATATATATATATATATATATATATATATATATATATATATATATATACACATAATGTAGTTTTCCAGGATGAAAGCTGCACATCGCTACTATACATCTTCAAGTATGGAGAACACAAAAATCCCTATCACCATTGGATGCGTATAAAATGCATCCGTTATGGAAACACTATGAAGGCACATAGCCGCGATCACATGCACATTAGCTGCCACCGACCACCTAATAATGCAAAAATTATGCTGGAATTTGTTTGTTTGTTTATGACTAGAGAGAATTCGTTGATAAACAATGCGCCGTCATGTTCGTGTCCATTTGCTCCAGAGGTTCCTTGTCGCCCGGCATGATATGCCCCGTTTTTGTCTAATTCGTACTAAAAAATGTTCTCCATATGTATACAGCTTTGAGAAGCTTTGAGGGCACAACTTAGCTGAGCAGTAGCTAAAAGAAGCTAAACGGTACATCGGGCAGGGTCACAACATGACCACAGCCGGTCGGCCGCGGCTCCATGCGCACATGTGTTATCAACTAAAACACACGTGACTACAACACGTTTATTCTGACCATCCCATGAGCCCATACACACCACAACGCCGCCCGCAGACATGTGGCAACCATGGAGAGGCAGTCCAACCACGGAGAGGCAGGCAGGGAGGCGACCGCGTTATAGCCAGTGTAGCGCATTTGTCACCAAAACAGCGTTTCTACTAGCTCACGGCAGGCCCGGTCACTCCTCCCGCACTGTCCAGCCGAGCAAACACGGCCACCGTACACCACACTGAGCCAGCTGCCCTAGCCGAACATTCGACTGCTTTGGCCGAGCATCGGACTGCACTGGCCGAACATCGGACGGCACCGCCCGAACATCGGACTGCCCTAGCCGAACATCGGACTGCACTGGCCGGACATCAGACGGCCGCATCTCAGCGTGGTGTCTGGCGTCTTCCAGCTGAGTGCGCCGGGCCGACTGCTCACTGGCTGTCGTGAGACGGCCCTCAGTGTTCCAATGAGCGGGGCATGTGAGCACGACATGCGAGAGCAGATGTCCGCAGATATAACGAGACTGCACTCGTACGCCCGGGCAGTTCAAACCAGTGGTCATCGATCAACGCTCCGAACGACATGCTTTCATCGCAGCTTTGACTAAAAAGTCGGCGTTGGTACATTAACGCCGAGCTCGTCAGACCGGTTCTGCGCTCTTAACTTGGCGGCATTATCATCAGAGGTACCGTTAACCCGATGGAGTTTGAAAACAAACATTTAATGGCCCTATTGTCACACACATTCAAAATTGATTAGACTGCTTTCCCAGCAATATGTGCCACCAGCGGCACTTCTCACCCAGAGAACAAACTACATTATGTCCCCGATGCGCCTCGTCGGCACTTCTGGCCCTCAGTACACCTAGTCCCCAATCTGATCCCCGGCACACCAGGTCACCAAACCTTGTCCCCGACATACCACGTCACCACATCTGCTCCCCGGCATATCAAGTCAACACATCTGATCTCGGCATACCAAGTCACCAAACCTTGTCCCCGACATACCACGTCATCACATCTGCTCCCCGGCATATCAGGCCAACACATCTTATCTCGGCATACCAAGTCACTAAACCTCATACCCGGCATACATCACCGCACCACATCGCCAGCACACGAGGCGGTCAGCGGATCTGGTCCTGCGGCGGAATGATGCGGTAAATCTCGTCCCGCTCCAGCCGGTGCACCGACCGCAGATGCATCCGCAGGTTCGGGATGTTGCTCAGCACGCGGCGGCAGACGGGGCACACCGTCAGCCCCTTGTGCTTGTTCTTGTGGTCGCCCAGCGCCTTCAGGTTGCGGTAGGTGTGGCCGCAGATGTCGCAGACGAAGCGGGCACAGCGCCCTGCAACACGGGCACCGCTGACGTCACCGCGCCTGACGTCATCCGACGTCTTGGTGTCCCGCGGACCAGCGCGGGCGACACACGGAGCGGGGCTGCAGCGGTATAGGCTGTCTTCCGTGCGAGGCGGCGGTGACGTCATACGGAGCACCTCTGACGTCACTGTCTTCTGTAGGCGCCTCTGAGTACGGCGGGTGGTATGACAGCCAAACCACTCGCCGACCCGCCGCAAATCCTTGCTATTTGGGGGAAATAACACGCACATATAATTATTGGTATGCACAAGATGTAAGAACTGCGTGCTGGCTGCGCTGCCTCGTTATTCACTGCAGCAAACTTGTGGGCGCTGAGCGAGCAACAGACGCCTCGCCGTAAAAAGAACGTGAAGAAAATTCGTGTTCAGAGAATCATCTTTATTGACTCAACCCAGGACCCGAGGGATATAAAATAAACAATATTTTCACTTTCATGGATAGTCAGTGATCGAAATTTTACGAGTGCAGTTCTCAATCACACTTCAGGTGAGATGCTAACGAGGGTTTGGCTGCCCTCGCACACATAAATAATAACGGCTGCTAAGATACGTGAGCTCTGAAACCTTTATAGATACGGGCGCTCTGAAAAAACAACATTCGCCGTTCTGCATTTAACCTCGCCGTCGCAGTGTGAGCCCAAGTGGTGCCATATTTGACAGCACCACTATGCGTGCGGACATAGACTTGAGGACGAACATCTGGTACAGAAGCGAACAATGCGATGCCGGCCAGGGGAGCTGGTGTGGCCTTCTCTATCTGAAAACCAACGATGATGTTTTTTTCGGTCCCACTGTCTTCTTAATACGGTTTCGCCTCAGCCCCTGTCTGAAGAGAGCACATGGGCTACTGAGCCGCTGCCTGGCTCGAGTCGGCCGTGGCACCTGAAGCAGGTGACGCGTTTACCCTCCACATGAGATCACGTGACACGGCTGCGGCGGGGCCGGCGCCGGAGCACTCCGCCGTTGTCACGAGCTTCAGCCCTGCGCCACGCCCGGCTCTCCGACCACGCCCAGGTCACAGCAGACGTCGGCGCTGGCTGGACCGGCGGTGGCTGGACCGGCAGGCCGGCGTGGGCCCAACATTTCACTCCTCACCAATGTCGCTCGCACGCCCCCGCTGCCAGCCGCCCGTGCCAGCAGGCGCGAGCCGCGGAGCTCCAGTCGTCGGCGGGTGCACCGGTTCGGCTATCGGGCGGCGGACGCCACTACTGTGACCGTGAGCGTAGTCCCCGCCGGTGGGAACCAGAGACGGCAAAATTCTCCCGCGTCGGGAGTCGAACTTGCGCTCTTTGACCATGATCAAACGCCTATCAACACTCGGCTATCGTAGGTTGAGCGGCCGCACGCGTGGACCATGACGTCAGCGAGACGGCGCCGGAGATATCCCACTTCTGCGGCCGCCAGAGGCTCGGCCGCGCCCCGCCGCTGCTGCTGCTGCTGCCGTTCACCCAGTCCCAGCCGACAGCGAACAGTACGGGAGCAGGTGACCATGTGTATTGTACATCAGCAGTGGGGTTCACACGACGACAAAGAACAACGCATGCGCAAATCTCGACGCCTGGTGCTCGTGCGATTATGGCGAGGACGCTTGTACCAAAGTAGTTTTTGGAGTAAAACGACACATTTCACGCAGAGTGTCACGACCTCCGAGGCCGAACGCACCGTGGGACCTGCAAGGTCTCCGGTCTGGACCGGTTCGAACCCAGCCGAATGCAACGCAACCCGGCGTACCCAAGGTATCAGGTCAACTGAACTAAGCACGAATACAGCACGCGTCCGGATCCAGACGCTGGCGACGGATGGGGGCGGAACAAGCTCAGCTGGCCGTCCTGGTCCAGCTGCTTCGAAGCCGAGGAATGTCCCGTTAAGCCACTGGCCAATGGCCTTGTGATGTGCTCTTCAACGCATGTGAACTGGCTGATTCCATGCATGTAAACTGGCTGATTCCATGCATGTAAACTGACTGATATAGAAAGAAGACTCGCTCCTTTTAGGCGCAGCACCGCCACATTGCAACACCAACGCAACATATAATTCGTTCGCCAGGGCCTTTAACTGCAAGATCACGGGATAAGATGAAATGCAAGCAATGCAACGGACGTAAAGCAGTAAAATGGTGATATCTGACAACACGCGACCTCCAGGGCGAAGACCGACTTTCAACAACAGATCAAACGTATGCGGATCACGGCCACGATCCGCTCTCTTGATTGCTCTTGATCTTGGTCTTCGTCCTGATCGCTGTCTTCAAAAAACACATGCATAGAGATCGTCGGCGTCTTCCGCGGTGCCGGCAGGAGCTCGTCGGTGTCTCCGGCGGATCCGACGGACGATCGCCGGCGCCTATGGCGGATCCGACGGAAGATCGTCGGCGTCTCCTGCGGTGCTGGCAGGAGATGGTCGGCGTCTCCTGCGTTACCGGCAGGAGACAACCACACATCCGTGGTCTCTCGCCACACACCGACCGGCGAGGGCAGCCGGCGAGGACAGCCAGTCCACGGGGACTACAGTAGTGGGACAAGCAGACACCACCAGCCGGGCACGCGCGTGGTTACCATGGAAACCGGATCCCATATGGTCCTTCCTTTGTCTTCATTGGCGGATACGTTTTCTGGCATTCAAGAGTGCACCTACGTACTGGCAACGGCGGTAGCACACACTAGGACCTAGTTTCACGACGTGCAAGTTCAAACTCTGCATCTCTGAAGTGCCTTTCATCAGCGTACGGGCAGAAAGCAAGCCAATTCCGCTCGCCCTTTCGATTCTTAGGTCAAAGGCCGTGTCAGATAAAACACGTTTTGTCACACCTAGTCATACCATGCAAGACGATAGCCCTTTCATGTCACGAATGTTCGGATCCGGCTGTGCGAGGCATCTTCCCGACCGGCCATCGCCGCAGCCGGCCTTCACTGTAGCCGCAGCTCCCGCTGTCACCGGCCGGCCCTCACTGCAGCCGCAGCTCCGCCGCAGGCTCCCACCCCGGCGCCCGCCCGCCGTCGACGGCGGCGGCGGCGGCGGCGTCCCAGCCGGCGCCGGGCCGTCGGCCTCGGCCGTCACTGGGCACCATGGCGTACACCTGCTCCGCTGTCTGGCTGTGGATGCCGGCCAGGTGGCGGCGCAGCGTCGGCACCGAGGCGTACACGTTCCGGCACAGCGGACACTGTGTGCGGCCCGCGTGCTGCTTGGAGTGGTTCCGCAGCGACGAGCGGCTGCGGAAGACGCGCGCGCAGTCGGGCGCCTCGCACCGGAACGCCGCTGCGGAGGAGGTCACCACTGTACTGCCCGGCGAGCGGGCGTGCCGCGGGCCGGCACATGCCGGACAACGGGGTGGCGAGCCGTCCACAGGGCGGCCGCGATCGAGGGCAGGTGGACTGTGGGCCACTACCACGGGAGGTGGACAGGACATGGATGGTGACGGGCACCGAGGCGACATTGTGCACAGTGGGGCGACAGACCCGCTTTGTGCCAGACACTAGAGGTCAGCACGCGTTCGCCCCCCTTTGCGCCTGTCGCTACCGCGCGGCCCGTCCACACCTACTGGCTCGTCACACCTATCCAGCCTTAGCCACCCGCTACCCTGCTTTTCAACACGTTCCAACGTTCAAGCCAAATTAAAGACAATCTTACGGAAACGCAAAATCTCGTGGCGATATGAAGAGCTCTGTTTGCTATTTCAATATCCGCAATAAGAAAACCGCGTGGTGCATGCAATCATCGCAAGGCCAACCATTATGCGTGAAATTTGTGCAGCTTATCTAACACCTACCAAAAGCTCGTTCAAATACATCAACGTGGTGGCAATTTTCCTCAAATGTAACCCAAACCTCACTCATTAACCCCCATATAAGAATACCCATGACTGTAACCCAACTGCGAAGGCCTCCAGTGGACACAACAGATAAGGTCCTACCGAGGTAACGGAGACGGGGATTGCGCAGCGAAATACAGGACACGACGTGACTGGGGCCGCGAGATACAGGACACGAGGTGACTATGGGGCCGCGAGATACAGGACACGACGTGACTGGGGCCGCGAGATACAGGACACGAGGTGACTGGGGCCGCGAGATACAGGACACGAGATGACTTTGGGGCAGCGACATACAGGACACGAGGTGACTGGGGCCGCGAGATACAGGACACGAGATGACTTTGGGGCCGCGAGATACAGGACACGAGGTGACTATGGGGCCGCGACATACAGGACACGAGGTGACTGGGGCCGCGAGATACAGGACACGAGATGACTTTGGGGCCGCGAGATACAGGACACGAGGTGACTGGGGCCGTGAGATACAGGACACGAGATGACTTTGGGGCCGCGAGATACAGGACACGAGGTGACTATGGGGCCGTAAGATGGAGGACACGAGGTGACTACGGGACCGCGGGATACAAGATACGAGATGACTTTGGGGCCGCGAGATACAGGACACGAGGTGACTGCGGGACCGCGAGATACAGGATACGAGGTGACTTTGGGGCCGCGAGACACAGGACACGAGGTGACTATGGGGCAGCGGGATACAGGACACGAGGTGACTATGGGGCCACGAGATACAGGACACGAGGTGACTATGGGGCCGCGAGATACAGGACACGAGGTGACTACAGGACCGCAGCGGGATATAGGAACACAGGTGACTACGGACCGCGAGATCGGACACGAGGTGACTACAGGACCGCGAGATACAGGACACGAGGTGACTATGGGGCAGTGGATACAGGACACGAGGTGACTACAGGACCGCGAGATACAGGACACGAGGTGACTATGGGGCAGCGGGATACAGGACACGAGGTGACTATGGGGCCGCGAGATACAGAACACGAGGTGACTACAGGACCGCGAGATACAGGACACGAGGTGACAACAGGACCGCGAGATACAGGACACGAGGTGACTATGGGGCAGCGGGATACAGGACACGAGGTGACTATGGGGCCGCGAGATACAGGACACGAGGTG